ACTAGTCACCACATCATTGTTTTATGCAGATGAATGTAAGAACCAGAGAAAGATCACACACCAAGACTTGAAAAGAAAGGGATGTTACCCCCAAAGGGCACTGTTCAGACATTAGGGATGAAGAAATGTGTGTGAGTTGTGAATACAAGCACTTTTACAATTTAAAAATCTGTTCCTGTGAGTGACATTTACTTACCCAAACAGTCCCACAGATAAAGAATGTTCATGTGAGTCAGACTTGAAGGATGCACCTCAGGCTTTGTATTTTATCTTGAGCATTGCAGAGACTGCAAGGTAAATGAAGAGGAGGGGCAGAATGGAAGGAATGTAGGTTATGATCAGGACCAGTGAGGTGTGACTGGAGCACAGGATAGGAATTCTTTGTCATCATGCTTCTGATGCTTTCACCTTGACTTTGTAACTTGCTGGGCTCAATCATAGTGTTTACCATGAGTATTAAAAAGAGTGGGAGACACACATCATTTCCAAGTCTCCTTTTTGCATTGAGGGGAAAAGACCTTATGCTGATCCTTTACCTGACCTGGCATATGTCACTCAAAATGCTGGTGCAGATAGGCAAGCCCACTTGTTGTTCAGGATGGAACAAGGGCTCCATCTGATTTCCACCCTGAGACAAGGGAGCAAGCAAAGACCTTAAAACTCCTATAGTTGTTTGAGCTGCTGTGCAAAACAGGTGATGAATTTAGCCCTTTACCCCAGTTCGACACTTGTAATGACACAATTTCCCTGACAAGTATAATGCTCATTCCTCCTTCTCCACTGAGGTTGCATCTATACAACACCCTAAACTTTAATTAAGATTTGAGCTACACAAATTGCGTATCTTATTTTTATTGTATTTCAAAATACATTATTTTGAAATCTGATGCGTGTACACAGTGCCAGATTTTGAAATAATGTCCTATTCTGAGACATCCCTTAACCCTCATGGAATAAGGGTTACAGGGATGCCAGAATAGCACACCCATTATTTTGAAAAATATTTCAAAATAACAGGTGTGTTTAAAGGATACCTCTGGTATCCTGAAATAGCCCCACTGTCTAGATGTACCCTCAATGACTAATACCAGAGCTAGCACTGTGGCAGAGATAAAAGTTGAAGCAAGCATTATGCAGGAGATACCAAGTGTTATGATACTGCCTTTTTTTTGTCTAATTCTAGTCAAACAGAGCTCCAGTTCAATTATGAAGAGTGGTAGAAATGATATTGAGTTTTGTATAGAGAGTATGAGAATGAAAATCATTGCTCTGGATCATTCACTAATCCTGTTATGGAGGAAGATTACAAAACCACACTTTTGTCTCACTATGAAACACAATTATGGATGATACACCAACAACTGTGTATGCTACTAGGTTACTAGCAAATGCACAATCATTCAGTGTTGTGTCAGATACCAGGGCTATATCTGTGACATTGTTGATCCAAATGCAGGATGTGACACATGCTAGTTGGTTAATGCAGGTAGGACTGAATTGTGGCTGGACTCTATAACAGAGAATGTCTGTAACCCAATTAAAAAAAAAGCTGACATTTCTCCCTTCTCATCCCTCCTTGGTTTTTCTTAGTATCTGCTCTATTGGTGCAATTCTTACATCACAATAAAGTTTCTTCTGAGGTTTGTAGACACAATGATTTTTTTAAGTTTGAAAAAAAAGGGAAGCCTGCTCATCGGGCCTATTTCCCCAAATTTTCATTGCTCAGTCTATAATGCAAATGGATCAATAACACACACGATTCAACTAAAACTTTGTGAATTTTTATCAGAAGGGTATGACAGTCTTTCTAAATATTTGGAATATGTTTATCTGCCATTATGTAATGTCTGCTTCTTTTTAAAAGGTAGGTAATAATAGAAAATGCAAGAATTTTGCTTCTAATGCTAAATATATGTAACCCAAGAACCAGCTCCCTGAAAGAAAATGCCAACGTGTTTTAGGAGGTGGACTCCTTGGGTGATGTCCTGTCCCTACTAATATCAGTTGACATTTTTTCACTGACTTTTGTGGTGGTTAGAATTTATCCCATCATGAGCTGTAAATACAAGTTCTTTGTTGATCTACTTCTCCTGATTCTCCTCTCACTTAAACCAGCTTTTACTCTGGTTTTACTTCATCAATATTAAGAGAGTTATTCCTTATTTACACTGATGTAGCTAAGAGAAGAATTAGGCCCAGAGATAATTTGTCTTCAAAATAATCATCTGCATGTGTGCAGTCCTCTCTTTCTGTTTGTATCTCTATGTTATAATGGGGATGTTATTGGTGAGTTTCCATGGCATGGGAATCAAGCCCCTTAACTTTATATCATGGAGTATCTTGATAAGAGAACCTTATAAAAAGGAAGCACCATATCTAGACACTTTGAGTGCATAGACTCCATATATGTCTATATACACACACACTTCAAATCTGTGACAGATTAACCAGGAGTAATACGTTTTGTATAATCACCACACTACACTTTTTAAAGGTAAAGTGCTTTTTTTAATGACTAACCCTTGAACGTGGCTATTGCATGCACACTTCAGACTTTATGATAAAAAAGTAGAACATCTGAACCAAAAAAGATGGAGCCTAAGCACTAGGGCAATTTTTTTCCTTTTTATTTTGTGTTCTAACAGAACTTTTGTCAAACATAGAGCACGTGAACACATGACAGTTTCCTTCACTGTTTCTCACACAGAGCTGTTTATAGAAGAGGAATACCTGGGAGGAATGTTTCTAAGCCATAGATAGCTTCTCCGTGTATTTCTTTTTTCATTTGTTTGTTTTTGTTTCATAATATGACAAAGCATAATAAGAAAAAAATTTCTTAAGTAGTGTGAATATCAAATAGTATCCATCAATCCCTGAATCATGCTATTCAAAGTGCTTAAATCTACACTAAAAATAGAACAACAAAAAATACTCCCAATGTGGCTAAAGAAACACCTATCAATGCCTAGAATGTGACTGCAGTCAGATTGTTACACTCTATATTTATTCCACATCCCAATTTTCATCTTAAAAATATAGAGGGAAGGATGAAGGGAAAGGGCATTCAATATTTTATTTTTTCTGGGAATTGGAGGAATTTAGAATCCAGTCAAATGAAATTAAATGCCATCAATCCTTGACAGGAATCGATTAATATCATATAAATAATAACCATCTTACAATCTGAAATAATCAAATTTGTAAAGCTGTCTTGAAATTTTATCTGCCCAGGCAGCTTCATTTCTGTTTTGTGGATATTTGGCACATGTCCAGGGGGAAACAACTGAAATAAAGAACAGGTTGTAGAAAGGAACCCAAGTGACTTCTCAGAGAAGTAAACATTTTTCAGCAAATAAAAATCAGTGCACACCCCAAAGCTTCTTTAAGTGATTTTGCAGATACCGAGAATTCTTGACTGTTACAATATAAGAGTCATTCCTCAGACATTGTCAATATTGACTTACCCCCACGGACACCCACAAACTGCAGGTTTCACATTTTTGACCAATCACATCTTACTAATGAGACCAAACTATTAAAACTTGTATTTTTTTGAATATAATGATAGTAAGAATGAACAAATCACACAACATCCATTATATTGGCCAACACCAGTCAGCATGGATGAAAATCCTTAATAGATAATGAGTTACTGAAATAATCTCAAAGCTGTGTCTTGGTGTTCATGTTATATTTTTGGTATTAAAAAAAAGGAAGGGAGCCAATCCTTTGTGGATGTACATTGGGGCACTGCATTGGTTCCATTTACACCAGCAGAGAATTTGGCCCTTTTAAAGGAAAAAAAGTCTAACTCCATTTTTTTCATTTTCTTAAATGGCAAGTGAACTTTGCATCATTTTAATGTAAACATGGGTAAGATCCATTAGTTCTAGAGATACCTGAACAGTGAATTTTTATTTGTCTGGGAGCAATGCCACACAGGTAATCTGCAATCTTCAAAGATGGAATGCTGCATTAAAAACCAAATTAGTTTATTAGTTTATTCAATAAACTTAATGGTTTTTAATACTTCCACATCTAATTTAAATATTAAGTATGTATAAATAAATGTTTATTTTTATAACATTGATGTTTGTTGGTATTCATAATGTCTTTTTTTCTACCTGAGTTCTCATTTAAATCATCTTGAAATTAATAAGATTTTACTTATTGTAAACAAGCTAAAACAAAATATAAAAATGCTGAAATGTGAATATATCATTGAACAGTAATTACAGTGATTGGAACATTTAAAAAAAAGGGGAACCCATACTCAGCTGGAGAGAAATGTTTTGTTCTTACTTTTTAGAAAAATCCATTTTCTATAGTACAATGTGACAAACCATAGTTGATACTATCCTTTTACTCCCCTTTGGTTTGGAAGCCATCATTGTAAATCACAGCAGGATTTACTGCACTTCAAAAATTATTACCTTCTTTGTTTGACAATCGCAAATAACCTCATTTGCAGAATTTAAAAGGGGGGAAAGAAAAAAGTCAAACACTTAAAAAAACAAGCAAGAAAAAAAAAAGCTACAAATGCATTCACACATTCACGCCATCCCATAAGTGATCAAATTAGGATTGTTGTTTTATATAAATAAAAAGGGTACAACTGAATTCATCCATAAAACAAAAACAAACTCTACTTTACTTTCTACACACTCTGTAGTGGTTACTGTGAGGCAATTGATACATATTGGGTATATCTTGTTGTCTGACATTTACTGAGTTAAATGTTAGATGATCAGACTGTCTGTAATGTCACCCAGCATGGGACCGTCGTATTGTTTTATATAAATAAAAAGGGTACAACTGAATTCATCCATAAAACAAAAACAAACTCTACTTTACTTTCTACACACTCTGTAGTGGTTACTGTGAGGCAATTGATACATATTGGGTATATCTTGTTGTCTGACATTTACTGAGTTAAATGTTAGATGATCAGACTGTCTGTAATGTCACCCAGCATGGGACCGTCGTAAGGGGATGATAAGTAATGAAATTGGAGCTCAGAATGATTTGCGGGGTCCTCCTAAGAACAAAGGTTCTTCACAATGGTGAAATGCAGCAGGCATGGCCTTCATGTATCAGGCTAGGCAGGCCAACAAAATGGATGGTGCTTCTGATATTAACATAGCTTCGACCAAGCATTCCCAAGAAATGTTTAAAAAAAATTCTAAAACTATTCTAATGGAGCAAAAAAGATTTCCTATCTATACAGCAGTCTCTTCATTAAAAAAAAAAAAAAAACGGTAATATACAAATTCCAATGACGTATAAAACAAAGTCAAAAATGTGAATGGCAAGAGACATGGGTAAAACAGGAAGACTGATGCTACAAAGAAACTGCAAAAACATATGTACAAGACCCTGTTTTTCCTCGTATTTTATAGATTGTAATGCATGTTTAACAGCAGCAGTCGAGGATGTAGTTCCAGGCACCAGACTGCACACTTAGCTTCTATTCCAGGGGGTGAGGGCCCCCCTTGCATTTCTGTCACCATATGACACTTGATATACTGGTCTCCCGTGGCAAGAGGGGCAGTATTGCACTGTTTGTATGAGCCTCATCTGGATTCTGCTCTCTGTTAGTTTTTGTCTGCGGCCGCTGCCCATTGATAAGTGTCATAGGGATGTTGCAGTAGGTATGCTGGTTACCCATTGAGGTAAGAGGCAGGGTGCCAGTAGGAGGTACATCGTATTCATAGCTTCGATAATAGTGTTTCTGGCGCATCTGTGAATGATACGTATTATGAAAGGTGGAGCGCAGATCTGGATGGGCAGTGGCAAGAGCAGTGGAGGTGGCAGCAGCCATTGAAATTGCTGAGACAGTCTGCAGTTCCCCAAAGGGCCCCTGCTCACTGACATCTAAAACCTGCTCGTGTGTGATGGGTTCTATCCTCTTAAAAGGCATTTCGTACTGTAAACGTTTCCAGAATTTAGAATTCAACTTGTTACATTTTGGTCCATGCCATTTAATGACAGTTAGAAGCTTGATGGTATGTTTCAGGGCCTCAACCTCCTGGTAGTTCATAATTCCCCGGAGTTCGCTGCATTCAATCAGTATCACTTTAATTTCTCCTGTGACTAACATGTTCCGAAGTCTTGTTTCCAGTTCGAAGATGCTCCAGCCTCTCCTTACCACATAATTTGGAGTCATGACGATGATCAGACGCTTGCTTTGGTCTACACATCTTGCCACATCTTCAATGTAAGCTATAAAATAAGACAGTAGCTCAAGATCAGTTGAAGCAAGCAACTCACTCAAAAACCTTGGCAGAAACAAAAGAGCTAAATTCTCTTCTCTGAAAAGTGCTGGCTGAACACTGCAAAGTATTATTTGCATACGTTCATTCAGCTCCATTACCCTCCACCACCACAATATGAATGGGTTTCTATTCCTCAGAATATTTGGGCACTGGTTATTTTTTCTATAAAGGCCAACATCTGCATGTGAGCAAGGTTGTGCATTATCCTTTTGTTTAAAAAGTCATTTTGTGACATAACAGAACAATGACCATGTGATTTAGGAGCCAATGCACCACGAATTCACAAGTTACTTTAGTGCATATTGTAGGATTGCACCCTTTGTTTCTGTGTCTTTTTTTCCCTGGCATGTACAATGTTGCCTCCTGTGAATTAATGTTCATGTTATTGCAGATCTTAACAATTTTGTTGCTAATGTGTCTATTTTTTTCTTTTTAAGATGAAAAATTCTTTACTATCTTTTAGTAAATAATCCAATAAGATGGCAGCAGTTTGAAGGCCTCATAGAAGCTATGGATGAACTTTACAACTACTTACAAAAGCAATAATAAAATTGGGCAGGACTATGCAAAAGAAACATGAACAAGTAGTAAAATTAACAAAATTAAGCACTAATGAACTAATTTTCTTCTCTGTGAAATTGGTCCTGCTGTTGGGATTGGTCCTGCTTTTAGCAAGGAGTTGGACTTGATGGCCTCCTGAGGTAACTTCCAATCCTATGATTCTATAATTCTGTGATTCTATGATTCCAGTAGGGACACCAAAAACTTATCTGCTGTTAGTACTAACACATATAGTGTTCCTTAAAAGTATCACTGTTGTTTTAGTTTAGTGTTTAGTTTCTGGAATAAACAAAGGGTTAAATTCTGAGTCCTTACTCTAATTTCACTCAGCACACATTTAGGGTTATGGGAATTTGTCCAAGCATGGACTGAGTTAAAACAGAATAAGGACATCACTATTTAATTCATAGACAGAAAGGTTCCTCATCCAGCCCTACAAAATACTGGTCTTGTCATGCTTTCCTTGCTATGTCTTTCTTAATTGAAAATAATGCCCAGCCAAATACATAAGCAACATTTTAGATAGAATGGAGGCAAGCCAACAAATATTTAAAAAATGTATCCCAAAAATTAGATGAAATATTTTTTTAAAAGGACAGAGAAAACTCAGAGGCAAGATTCTGAGGGTATTATCATATTGTTTCAAGATTTGTAATTTCTGTATTCCTCATATGGGAAACACACATACGACTGAATATAACTTACTTCCAGTGGGAATCAAATCTCTGTCTGGTATGAACAACTTGTATCCATAATGCTTTTCAAGCATATCTGGTAGGATCTCAAGAGCAAATCGTTCTTCTTCCCCAGTTTCTTGATTCCACTGGTCTGGATCCACTTTGGTATAGGATAGATATGCATCATAATCTTTGTTGTCTAAAGAAAGAAAGAAAAAAAGAAAGAAGGAAAATGAAGTATTTTGACGTGATATTCAGACAATAATACATTTTGGGTGCATCTAGACTAGCAAGATTTTGCGCAAAAACTTGCCAGCTGTCTACACTGGCCGCTTGAATTTGCACAAGAGCACTGACTTTGTAATGTACAAAATCTGTGCTTCTTGCACAAATACTTTCACGCTCCTGCTTGGGAAAAGTGTAGACAGGGAAGAACTGTTTTGCACAAAAAAGCCCCAATGGCTAAAATGGTGATCGGGGCTTTCTTGCACAAAATCGCATCTAGACTGGCCACGGATGCTTTTGCGCAAAAGCAATTTTATGCCTTACTGTTGATCTAGTTTAAGTCTTCTGCCTAAAGTAACTGATCTAGCACCCACGGACATATGACCATGGACCTAGAAGCATTTAGTGTAAATGCTGCTCTGTGCCACCTCAGTTTCCCCTATGCAGAATGAAGTGGGCAGGAGGTCAGGATGTGACTGAATATGTACAATATAAACAAATTAAGATCCCAATGCTGAAAAGATTTAAACACAAGAGTAAATTTACCTATATGAATAGTCTCATTGACTTTACATGTGTGATGGATGGGAGTATTTCCTATAAAAGATTAAACTCAGAAAATCCCTGAAAAAAAATCCAGAAAGTGTTGGTAGGGAGCCAGGAAAGCCAATGGGAAGAAAGTGTTATGATTTGAATTGAAAAACAGGTTGCTTGTTTCAATCTCCTTTGTGTGAGAGAAGCAACAGGGGCTGTGAGAGACATGGAATGAGTAATAAACATGAGTGGCGAGGAGTCCTGTGGCACCTTATAGACTAACCGAAGTGTTGGAGCATAAGCTTTCGTGGGCAAAGTCCCACTTTGTCAGATGCATGTAGTGGAAATTTCCCCTTCGGTTAGTCTATAAGGTGCCACAGGACTCCTCGCCGCTTTGGCAGATTCAGACTAACACGGCTACCTCTCTGATACTCAATAATAACCATGTCTAGGAGAACAAAACCTTGAAGCAACAAATGTAAGTAGACAGGGAATGTTTATTTAGATATGATCGGGTTTTTTTGTTCTGTTGTTTGGTTAAGTTCCTCTGTGCTGAGTTGCCCTGCACTCAGCCCCTATGCTGTAACTAAAGCTGAATACCAGGGAAGCAATTCTTTGTGTTTTAATGATTTTTCTCAGTTGCTCTATAACACCTAGAACCCAAATATGATTTACCAAGTACATCTTTTTGTTTTGTTAATAAAACCACCTTTTTAAAACTATGATTTGATTCTTGTGTCCTGGAAGATAATAAGATGTCTGTGTATGCATGCCTAAGACTGAGATGTCTGATATTAGAGATTACAATTTTTTTTCTCTCTCTCTTGTAAGGAAAAAAACCTGGGTACCCCTCTGAGAGAAGTTCTCAAGTGAATCTTTCTGAGTTCAGGAAGAAAGATTTTTGTTTGTTTTTTTTTTCACTTGAGAGACGGCAGAATAAATCCCAAGTTCAGGGAATCTATGACCTTGTGGAGTTTTTAAAACAGAAGCTTCTAGAGCTGTGATCACCAACCTGTTGATCATGATTGACTGGTTGATCGGGAGGGCTCACCCAGTCAATTGCGAGGCATTCGGCCCCTCTTATTTCCCCCCACTCTCAAGACAATGGAGATAGCTCTGGCTTCCTGCAGGGTTGGGGGTCAGTCCTGCAGCTGTGCGCCACTTCTGGCATTTCCAGAAGTGCGCAGGCTGCTCCCTCCTACCCCAAACACCCAGCACAGTGCCTGAAAGGCCAGGTCTGTGATGTGCTGGGGACTTCCTTCTGCCTGCTGCCTTTCTGCATGTGTGTGTCCACTCTCAAGACAATGGAGATAGCTCTGGCTTCCTGCAGGGTTGGGGGTCAGTCCTGCAGCTGTGCGCCACTTCTGGCATTTCCAGAAGTGCGCAGGCTGCTCCCTCCTACCCCAAACACCCAGCACAGTGCCTGAAAGGCCAGGTCTGTGATGTGCTGGGGACTTCCTTCTGCCTGCTGCCTTTCTGCATGTGTGTGTGTGTGTGGGGCCTGCAGCCTGCTACTTGCCCCATCACCTTGTCCCCTACCCCCATCACCACCCAATCCCCTGCTTCAGCACCCACCAGCACCCTGTCACCTGCCCCAGCACCCACCAGAACCCTGTCCCCTGCCCCAGCACCCACCAATACCCTGTCCCCAGCTGCCACCAGCACCCTGTCTGCTGTCCCTGCACCCACAAGCATCCTGCCCCCTGCCTATACCAGCTCAGTTGGGGTCACATTAGTGAGGCTTGGGTGGTTTTGGAGGGGGTTTTTTTTGTATCTCACTTGTGTGGCCAGACTGACTTTTCTCTGGGTCAGTGACCCCTGACTTAAAACAGGTTCCCTGCCCTTCTCATAAATAAAGACAATTCTGAAACTTTTTGTGTTTGACATAATATTTTATTTTAAAATGAAGCCTGGTCCTGCACCCACTGCCAGCCTGTCTGCTGCCCCAGCACCCACTAGAACCCTGTCACCTTCCCCAGCACCCACCAGAACCCTGTCACCTGCCCCAGCACCCACCAGAACCCTGTCCCCTGCCCCAGCACCCACCAATACCCTGTCCCCAGCTGCCACCAGCACCCTGTCTGCTGTCCCTGCACCCACAAGCATCCTGCCCCCTGCCTATACCAGCTCAGTTGGGGTCACATTAGTGAGGCTTGGGTGGTTTTGGAGGGGGTTTTTTTTGTATCTCACTTGTGTGGCCAGACTGACTTTTCTCTGGGTCAGTGACCCCTGACTTAAAACAGGTTCCCTGCCCTTCTCATAAATAAAGACAATTCTGAAACTTTTTGTGTTTGACATAATATTTTATTTTAAAATGAAGCCTGGTCAACAAGCACCCAATTGGGGCCAAACCTCCATCTGGCCGCAGCATCATAACACTCATGCATGCCCTATGACCCCAAATCTGAGCCTATCATAAACTGGAAGTCCCTCTCCTGAGCATCTCACATCCCCAAGCTCCTGCATCCCCACATCCTCAGTCTTCTGCCACAACACCCCTGCACCATCCACGCACCACAAATCTGTGTCCTGAGCCCATCATACTCCCAACCTCCCTGCCCTGAGGCCCTAACATGCCCCAGCCCAAACTCCTGCACCCTCACATCCACAAGCCTGTGGCTTGCTCAGCACCCCAACCCTCTACCTGACCCCAACAGTCCCCAAACTGAAGCCCTCCCCAAGCCAGCATCCCCTTCTCCACATCCTCCTGCATCCAAATTCCCTCCCAGAACTTGCATCTCTCACCCCTTCCCACACCCAAATCCCTCATTCCCACCCAAGAGCCGACATCTCCTGACTCAACCCAGTGAGAGTACGGTTAGACTACAAGAGTTTTTCTGGGATACCGAAAAACTCTTCTGTGTCTAGGGATACATTTGTTCTTCCACTTTTTTTAGAAAAAGAGCAAACACGCTCTTTCAGCAGCCCCTGTATACTTTGTTCCAACAGAAGGATTGAAAAAAAGCGGCAGTATAGCTGTACCCTCAGAGTGTATAAGGGCTGGGGATAGCAAGTGATGGAGAGGAGGGGAACACAGAGGGTGGGGCCTCAAGGAATGGGTGGGGTCTTGGGGAAGGGATGGGGTAGATCTTGGCTTGTCCTGACATTTAAAAAGTGATCTTGGGTGTAAAAAGGTTGGAGACCACTGGTCTAGAAGCAAGGTATTTTTAAAGTCTCTTAAAGGCCCCCACTTTCTGCACTTGAAGTGCCACAGTGGGGAACAGCCTCAACACCACAAATAAAGCTACTAAATATGGTTACCTTTCTGTAGCATTGGGCCCAGTTGAACTCAATTAAAATATGATGGATTTCCTGACTTTTGGGTGTTTAAATTTGCCCAATTGATGCTGTCTTAATGTAGATTTTTCAATTTAATATGGTGCTCTTTCATTTCAATCTCAGGGGAAAAAAGCACCTCTTTCAGAAATTTGCTTTCTGTGCTTACTTGTAAGACTGAATGAAAGAAGCCATCATTAATTTTCATTAAGAGGTCAATAATGCCAAGTGCTCTGGAACTAATTCAGTGGAATAAGAGGTCACATTTTGATTTTTGTTGTGAAGAAAGTAGAGAAAAATCAATGCCAGGAGTAATGAAATGTTAACATCCTTTAATTCTCTAGACAGTATTATGCACAAGCTATAAAGAATATCAATTGCTTGTAAAGGAGGCCTGATTGAATATGCTACTTTGTGCCATAAGTAATGTTATATTCATTCAACGCTGAATTCTGCAATTTACTAACAATAAATCCCTCCCTCACTTTACCCCTTTTTACATTTTAAGATCTCCTGTTTTAAAAAGCATGCAGAATGAAGGCCTAGTGCTGCCTGTTCATACCAAATGACATAGGGGGCTACCTTTATGTCTGTAACTTAAACAAAGAGCAATACAGAGACTTAAAAAAAACATATCATAAGCTTTTGTGGGTAAAACACACTTAATCAGATGAATACATGTAATTTCACAAATAGTTCTACTCTCCTTGCTCTGTGAACTGTACATTGTATACTCCAAAATTCACACAATATTTTTTATACTATAGCCAGGCAAGCAACTTTACAAATACAGGCAGTCCCCGGGTTACATGGATCCGATTTACATCAGATCCCTACTTACAAACGGGGTGAGGCAACCCCGCACTAGCTGCTTCCCCCCAGCAGACCAGGGAGACGCGACGCTAGCGCCCCACCCCCCAGCAGACCAGGGAAACGTGGAGCGGCTTTTCTCAGCAGACACCTCAGCTTGAGAATAAAGGACTGAGGGAAGTGAGGTGTGGGAGAATAAAACTGAGCTCTGGAGAAATGTTTGGCTAGAGTTTCCCCTACAATATGTACCAGTTCCGACTTACATACAAATTCAACTTAAGAACAAACCTACAGTCCCTATCTTGTACGTAACCCGGGGACTGCCTGTATAACATTTTATCAAATCCTGTTATA